GTCCCAGATAATACTTCATAATAAGGTTTAATTCTATAGTACTTTTATTATTATTCTATATTTATTTTGATATCTGGTCACCTTTAACGTCTTGCCAAGGAAGAAACCTCACCGAATACAGCTGCGTGTGAGTTTTGTTTTCCGTGACGTTAGCTGGACGTTTGGAGGGGGGATGGTTGGATAAGGGTAAATAACATGTTGACAAAGAACAACTACAATAGTTTTTTTCGGTGTAAAATTAGTCCACATTCAGTTTTACTGAAGTTCGCCATGCTGTCCATCAGAGTAATTTGTTCAAATCGCACGACAGCCTGATTGAAGGCAGAAATAAATGATATTTTTGTCATGCCTCATCCATAACTGATATAACTGCTTAATAACTTCAGATTACAACTAACGCAGCTTCAGAAGCTGACGTATTATATTCTTTTATTGCAGGAATCACGTGCAAAGAGGACAAGGACAAGGGCATAAGCTTGGGATCAAGAGAAGAAGTTTTTGTACCACTTATTGTAGCCATTTGTCTTGCTGTTGTAGTCTTACTGGTTATTCTTGGATATTTAATCAGGAAGAAGTTTGAGGGATTTGGATACGCAAACATGGACTGATATTAATGCTCATTTATAAGACTGTATTGATGCTATTTCGCATACCCACAACTACTTACTTCAACAGCCACACTCTTTTCTGAACAATCTAATCAACGCAGGCAATAAAATTGCATTCATTATAAATATTATTGATGCTTTCCGTGTCGTTTTCTAATATTACGCCTACTTTATCTCATCAGTCACGCTCTTTCCTGCATAATTTATTCAAAACTATCAAAACTCAGCCACAGGTGCACTTCTGTACTAGTATATAGCGTCTTATACGTGCTGGAGCACACAGGTTTAGCCCATTTCACGATAAATTGTCTCTGGTACACAAATGCATGAGGACTGTCGCGAAAACACCATGGACTTAAAGATGTATTCATAGTATAGTAGTAATAAATTGGGTTGATGATTTCTTTTTAAGATACTCAAACTAAATATATGTTGACACCATCCACTTCAAAATAAATATATTCTGACACCACTTTCCACTTCAAAATAAATATATTTATTGCCTCAAGGACCCTCTTATTTCAGAATAGAAATTTATATTCAAATACAAGGAGGATTCTGGCTCAGTAGATTTTTTTATATTGAACAAATGAAATATATATGTCATTATATAATCCAATCAGACATGTTGGATTTGATCTAACAAATAAATTTTGTAAGAGATTTAATTTTATCAAATCAGTTTCAGATTATACTGGTATAAAAGCTAAATTAATAAGAGATGGTATTAAAAACGTCGGTTATCATATATCACCGAAATATGGATCAGTATGGTTATTCGCGACTGAAATTGACGAATGAATAGCGGGTTGGGAAGATGATATGACGATATATATTGATAATGGGGTCGATATATTATTGGATAACAATATTCCTGCTATAAATCAAACATTAATATAAAAAATAATTTTACAAAATATATAATCACAACACAACCTCATATGAACTCCTAGCTTGTTATATAACACGCTAGCAAATTTAGGGGTATTTGAATTAATCCCCTTGATTCCATAGGTTGTCATTTAACATCCTAGAAGGACTAGAGAAAATTTGAAAGTCGACACAGCACAACCCCATAAACTCTTAGCTTGTCACATGACATGCTAGCAAGTTCAGATATTACATATAACTTATCCTAGGACACTAAACAATTTCCCCATGTGATCCTCTAGGTTATTGTCTAACATCATAGAAGGACCGGAGGAAGTTCGAAATACACGAAACAGACATCTCGGTTAAACTTCATGTGACTTCCTAAATTCCAAACATACACACAACACAGACGACACCAACGTATCCTAGCGGGAAACCTTAAATTACGCCCAACAGATTTCATACACCCACCTACCAGGCAAACACCGGAGGTTGCAAAAGTGCACCCACCACGTGTTCACATGGTGAACATGTGTATTTTGAATGTTGGATATTGGGAAATTCCTGGGGTACCCCCATCTTCTTAAAATTGACATCTAGCGTCTACATACTGATTTTGTCCGCAGATTGCACAAATACTTCTCAGCATTATTCTATAATTCTTTGCTTTCTTTTCTGTTTGTCGTCTTTTTTCTGTTTTAGTTTTAAACTTAAGACACTATATTGACATTATATATTAGTGAGTTTAAATACAATTAATTGCAAGCTCTACAAAAATTAACAGCAATCATATTATTAGCGTGAGAGAGTTGTTTATCAATCTGCAAAATAAACTTTTAAAAAATCTTGATTTTTGGTCATCTGCTTAATGAACATTATGCAATAATATCCATAAGTGGAAGTTCCAACTGGATGATTTTGATTAGACGAATAATTCATTATTTTGATTTTACTCATATATCTTTTTACAGCGTCACTTGGTGGAATTCCGAACGAGTCGAAATAATTATCAAAAACAGCTACCAAGTGTGTACCAGATCCATCATTAAAATCTTGTATATTTATCACACACGAACCTAGCAACGATGTAACCTGCGATGTCAGCGTCATAAGCTCATCTTTGGAATAAACTCCGTGAATTTTTTAAACCTTTTTTTAGTTTATCAGGTATGTCAAAATTATTTAATGCAAGCGACTTTGTCAGCCGCGACTTTATCTCCTTGTTACTGGCAGCATTAGTCCTCGTTCTCGTCCTAACAGACCCGGCAATAGACTTTTCGCTAATCCTGCTAGTAATGGGGCTATTGGAAGAAATCCACCTTGTCGCTGTTGTGTCTTTTTTATCATTGTCTTTCTTCGCACAGTTTTTCGCTTAGGCATTATATTTATTCTTTAGACAAAATATTGCTATCACTATTTATACGAAATATTAATAAAAAAGAATAAACAAAACTTTTCTTTATTCTACCGCCGCAGACTATATTATTACCTTCAACTGCCTTTTCTGTTGTGCCAGATACTGCTCCAGACGCTGATGCTAGCCTCAATGTATCTAACACAGGCAAAAGTTTAGTTAGTAATGTTTTGGCTATTACAGATAGTGTTGGACCGATGAAACCGTATTGTTTTGACATCGCAGTTGTTTGTGCAGCACTCATATTTAAAAAAAGTTGGGTGTTTTGCAATCGTATTTATTTACTTGATTTTTAGCTAAAACAATTTTGCTAAAGTACCCGTTTGAGCGTAAGGGTTGACCTTTAATGAGACCATTTTCTGTTTTGTAACAGAAGCTGCTAAATTTTTAATTTAGCCATCAGTTAAATGAATGTCTTTTACAATATATTTTGTCATCTTATATAACGATCATATTTTAAACTTGAGGTGTAAATCACCCTAAACTTGTATTGACATTTTACCTCTAACAGACTCAATTGTAACAAATCTGTCGCTTATCACTAACGCATGTACATAAAATAGTACAGCTGGAAGTGTTCATAGTATCTAAGTAAATTCAATATCAGCTGTGCTGTCTACAGCTCGCTCTCTATGCTTATTATTATCAAAATAAAATATTAGATAAAAAAGTTTACGAAATTCCTCTAATCATATCTGAGATCCATCTCCAGCATCTTGATATTTTTGCATTAAATCTAGTAAATACATATAATACTAGTAATGTTTTTATTAACGTCGTATGCAAAATTGCATTCTATCGCTCGCTCTGGATATTGTTTTGAATATATTCTAGCATATATTCGTCTAACATCAGCATTATCAAATAACGCATTATTTTGTAGTTGGCTTCCACATCAAACTTGTTAATGAAATGCAACAAATAACTGACGCGGTAGTTGTTCTCTTGATGTTGTTGTAACTCGCCTTGTGAAGTCTGTGGCATTCGGACCTGCTGTTTGATATATTTTATATTGCTAAAAATAAATTCTATTAGTATGTTTTTGCAGCATATCAGTTAATTCCGCCATTTTAGTTATAGATGTTATAGTGGAGTTATTCGTGGCATCCACAGCGCAAGTGTCTCTATGGCAAATTATACATCAAACCCACCAGATCTGAGCAAACAATCATTTTGTTCTGCTAGATCAAAAATGAGCAAATGTTTAACTCCACGAAATACTTTATTATAGTCCCTGCAAAAGCAAAATATTGTACTTAGTGGCACCATCAATGTAATTAGACGTGATACTGCTGCAAGTACCTTTCTCTTAGCATAACCATCAATATGACGTCTATTTCTTACGCTAATTGCGTCATTAATCAAATCTAACATTGCAGTGCCGTCAGTATCTGCAGCTGGTGGTGCTATTCCAAGATTATTACAAGCAGCAACAAATGAGACTATTGTAGCGTCTGCAGCTGGTGCGTCTATACCTATCACAGCAGCATTAGCAATAAGAAAATTTTACATTTTCAGCAGTTATATTTACTGGCAATTCACCGTTAAACGTAACGGGTTCTTTTTCAGCATAATATGCACCATCGAATTTAATCCTTATCAGTTGTGCAATACTTCTTTTTTAAACTAAACTAACTGCCATAAGTTTTAATGTCATTCTAGCTTGTAGCGTATTATAATTTGGTGCCAGTTAAAAATTGTCCCCAACTCCTTTATTTTTTTTTAAAGTTCTTTTATTGTTTTATTTAGATCAGTTATGTTGTAGGCTACTTCTGGAATTTAAAAAAATCCCCGTTTTCTAAATATTGGAGAACTTCGATCGTTAGCAATAAATTAAACTCATCATTTACTCCATTTTTTACATTAACCATAGCATTCCAGCGAATGCAGGAAATAAGTCCAATTTCGTATTGTTTTTGGCGATCCAGCTATATTAGCGGAACATACTTTACTGAATAATTTGCGCTATCTTTATCAGATTGGCTAGAGTCTAGTAGTAATGTTACTGACATTTATTATTATATTTTTTTTAATTAAGTCGCCGCGTTTAAGTCGCGGTGTAAAGCTTCGTAGTCGTCAGGTGTTAATCAATAACTGATGAAACCGCTCCGGTGACCTAGTGGTAAGAGCGTCCGCCTCGGATGCGGGAGGTCGTTGGTTTGATCCCCCCTCGATTCATCCCAAAGACTTACAAAAATGGTAGTAACAGCTACCTCGCTTGACTATCAACATTAAGACGTTAATGATAAAATTGGTCGGCCTGGTGTCAGGATAATATGACTGGGTGGGACATCATGCTAAATGTCTGCGGCATGATACCATAGTGCTAGACACAACTATAAACTGTCACACTTCAGACATCGTAGCGATTTGAATAACAAATTGTTAAAGCTACGTTAAAAATCCTAATCACATCACATCACATCAATAACTGTTGCGAATATTTCAACCCCTTTTCCTATTTGCTCTATATTTTACGCAATATTTATTGAATAAATCAAATTTTTATTTAAATTCCACCCCCTACTGTAACCCTTTTCTCTACCTTTAATCACTGTTTCGTGAAAGGTATAAGCTATAACACCATTCCTGATTCTTTCTAAAACTGGAAGCATGTCTTTTTTTCATGGCTGTATCTAATTCGTTGTTAGCATCATTACTCTCTGTTATCAATTTTTTAAATACAGCACAGCAATAAGTTCGTCGTATATATCCTTTGCCCAGATTTTTATATTATCAATATCTTTTACATCATGTTTCTAAGAAATTCATTATATTCATCTGATATCTGTTCATTTGCTTTTTTTCTCTAAAACTTCCATAAACTTTACCGTCAGCTCTCCGACTTTTTCTTGCTCCTCTTTAATATCTTTTATTTCTTCTGATAAATTCGTTAAAAATATTTTTAATCTCCCGTTTGGTTAACCTGCTAATCTTTGTTCAAGTTCCAGTGGATTATTTATTAGCCGATTATTTCAGCTTGTTCTGCAACAGAATAAGCTAAATTTGCTATAAGTGCCTCAGCTAATTCTTTTTCTTCAGATCTCTCTTGTTGTTCTTTAACTAATACAATCAGACCTTTGTCTTGTAAGTTTTTAAGTTATTCTTCTGATAGTGGCTTACTTTCAGGTTGTTTTCCAAGTAAAACTTCAGTAACTGGTTTGGGAATTGTGGCTGCTGATTCTGCTGCAGCAACTTGACCACGTCGTGCTTGCTGTACTTGCTGTTTAAATTATGCCTGAGATTGTGCAAGATTTTTTTTAAAAAGATTTTTTGTTTTCTATACTTTGTTTTTCCAATAATTTTATACTATTTTAAAAAAAATATTTTAAATAGTTTTCAATACAACTCGCAATATTTTACTCATATCATTTGTTAATTTGTCAAACAAAATTTTTTTTATTCATTTGCCGTTGTCTGACGATATAGTTCAAAAAACATTTAGGGGCCCCGAGTTGCCGAGTGGTCTAAAGCGCTGTTCGTTACAGATCACTGCCATCTCTCCTCTGTCTGCGTGAGTTCGAGTCTAGGATTCGGCGAATGTGGATATGTGAGAAAGCTTGCCAGTAGCTTCTCGTGGGTCGGTGGTTCTTTCCGGTGATTTCCCGGTTTCTTCATCTACCATTAATACTAGCCGCCATGTATCGTGTGCTGAAAAATGGCGTTAAGCCCAACAACAACAACATCAAAAAATTTATCTTTTGTTACATCGCCGCATTGTTTGTTTGCAATGTTTCTAACGTCAATATTGTCAAGTCCTGGTTATAATATAGAACAATCAGTATTTCGCCTGATAAATCTGTCAACATTGTAATATCCCTGAGCGAGATAAATGTAATTACATTTCTTATTTCGTGACAGTAAAAAATATATGATTTTATTCATTTCCTCATTGTTTAGCGGAATATTATCAAAAAACCTATTTTGTATTCGGACGAATCAAGTTGATTAACTGGAATAAGTTCTTCTGGTTGTCTGATAAAATAATCTTCGCCAGCCTCATGATCATCACAAAGTTTTTCATTATAATTGCTAATTAATTTGTACTTACCTTGTTGTGGATTAATTGTGTAAATATAAACGCGTTTGCAGTTAAAATTATCTCAGAGAAGTAAATTCATACGCAAATTTGTGTTTCCCGATGAAGTTCTACCGACTATAAGATAATGACAATCTGGAAGCTCATTGTTATGTTTATGTTTCACCAAATACTCTGTATCAAACTATAATATAGACGATTTTGCCATTATTGTTATACAAATTCATGTTATATAATTTTGTAAAATAGTAAATAAAGAATGAGCTTTTATTCAAAATTTGGAACAACATTAGGATATTTTTCAAATTGTCTGCTCAGTAAAGTTGACTTATCTAAATATGCAACTCTCGAGCAGTTAATAAATGAAATTACTAATTTATTAAATATCAAGTGTTGATGAAAATGAAGTTATTTTTCAAGGTAAAGAAGGACGATTAAAAAGGAATAATATACAACTATCAGATGTACTTCTACGAATTTCCGCCGCGGCTGTTACTAATATAGTTACTTTTGCTGATCAAGGTAAAACACATGATTCGGCTAAGTAAGTTAATGATTACGTTAAAAAGCTGGTGATATATTTACTGGAAACATTGTTATGTCAATTTTTTTTTTTACATATCTTGGAAATCCAACCGCAGAATTAGAAGTTGCAACTAAAAAATACGTGCATGATTAAAAATCTAAATATGTATTAGTGAGCGGTGGTACCATGCGTTTATTTTTCAATATGAACAATAACGGTATTAGTAATCTCAGAACAGCAGAAAGAGATTTCGAGGCTTGAACTAAAAATACGTTGACGATAAGGAAGTTCCAATAACAACTTCGTTAGCAACAATCAATGATGAAATTAATGCATTTAAGACTGATTATAGTAATTATGTACAAACGTTTCAAATTTTCGCAGAAATTTAAACAGAACTAATAATGCATTTTTTTAAAACTCCACTAACTGTTGATATTAAACGCGCTTACATGAACAATATTATAATAAGCATTCCTAATATCGTTCAAAAAGCTAATCTTGTAAAAATTCCTCACGGACGAGCTAACAATATCGTGTAGCATCAGAAAAAGTAATATGGTCACAGCAACATAACACTCTTAAACACACTTGTATATATGTTGTCCGCTCAGCAGTGCAAAGTTTAGTATATTTAGCACATTTCCATGGCGTCATTCGAATGATTTTTCTTGAACTGTGTCTATAGTGTTAAATAAAGATGGCGAAGAAACATTTATGTTGACAGCTGATGATAAAAAATTATCCACAGCTACTTACTGATGGTGTACTTAATTTGTAGTTGAAACTCCCGCATTAGTTACTTAAGTGACTGTATAACATGTCTAAATAAATATTATATAATGAAAAAAATATAGTCAATTTTAATCATATTTCAGAAAACATTCCAAAACGATATGTTGGCAATATTACAGATATTATCACAAAAACTTTGGTGAGTAAAAAAAATGTTACAAATACTATACCAAAATACTTTGAGTGATATCATATCTATTGCTGCTAATGACTAGCTCTGATATAATTTGAAGTGGTGCATCCTTAAATCCATTCTTTTAAATAATATCCAGTGTTGGCGTTACTCTTACAACAGTGTGTAAAAAGTTGAGCCTTGTAACTAAAAATGCTTGCAAAAAGCAAGCATTACCTATAGAAAAATTGCTTGATCAAATACAATGTTACTTGCAGTGTATCAAATATGGATTATTTAATACGCAAGTTCTGTATTATTGACAGTATGTTTACATATATTCTGCCAAATAGTCAGCAAAAATGAAAAAGATTATAATAAACAGTAAATGTTTAATTTTCTAAAGCTTTAGAAATATTGTTATAAAATAAATATATCGCCCATATTATCAATTAATATCATCACATTATCTGCCCAACCCACTATTCATTCATCATTTTTAATCACGAATAACCATACCGATCCACATTTTGGTGATATATGATAACCTACTTTTTAATACAATCGCTTATTATTTTAGATTTTATACCAGTTTAACATGATGTTGATTTGATTGAATTAAATCATACAAAATATGTTTATTAGATCCAATCCAAAAAGTGTGATTGGATTTAAAATGACATTATATATATATATATATATATATATATATATATATATATATATATATATATATATATATATATATATATATATATATATATATATATATATATTTCATTTGTTCATTATAAAAAAAATCTACCGAGCCAGAATCCTGCTTGTATTGGAATATAAATTTCTATTTTCTGAAATAAGAATGTCTGTGAAGCAATAAATATATTTATTATGAAGTGGGAAGTGGTGTCAGAAAATATTTATTTTGAAGTCGATGGTGTCAAAATATATTTATTTTGAGTATCTTGAGAGGAAATCATCAACCCTATTTACTACTATAGTACAGATGACCTTTATTAATTGATCATTTAATAAAATCTTGGAGGTTGGGGCACCATGATTCCTGCCAATTTTATGATAACCTGTCAAGATAATGACTTGAGACAGGTATGCATACAGATTGCTTATGTGCAACAATGCATTAAAATGACAGCAATGTGGATTGAACAAACTGTCCAATTATGGACTAAATTCATTACATTATTGCTTGTATTATATGACTGATTTATTATTTATAACACATATATTACTAATCATATATTATTAATATTTAAATGCATTAATTCAATCTGGCAGCATTGGAACCCAAGAAAATAAAACAAAGAAAATGGACATTTGACATGTAAATTGTATATAATGGTTTTGGATACTTGACAATAATGCTGATGGCATATATTCATAAAAGTAGTGAGATGTTTGACAATAGTGACATTGGTCACTAAATCATATTGTCCATATATATTTTTCAATGTAGAATCTGGTAGCTTCCATATACTTAAGTATCTATGCCAGGGAAACATGTGTTTCACCATGTTTATTTCATATTTGTGCAAAATGTGCCAAAAATGCTTACTTTTGATAGTAGCCTCAGTTTAGAAGCAAGTTAAGGATGACATGGAAATAGAAGTAGATATTGTAGCTATGTACCATAGATACCAACTTATAACCTGAATCACAAACCCAGATCTGCCATCACACAATGCACTAGC